AAATGACCCCAAAAATGGTCCCAGGGACCCCCGAGGGACCCAAGGGGAGTCACAGCCCCCCCTCCACCTTTGATGCCATTGCAATTAGCCCGTTTATTAATTAATAAGTACATTAATTTAGGCATTAACACTGGGGATGAGGGTTTAGGGTCACACCGTGGGGGGGACACAAACCCTGAGCTCCCTCCCCAGTCAAATTTTTAATTTGAAAGTGAATTAAACCCATTCACAAAAAGAAAAAGAGACAAAAATCTGTCATTCTCACCAGTTTTCCCTCATAATTTCATTAATTTTTTGTTAATTAACGAGCAGAACCAGGGTCCAGGGGGGGCTTTCCAACCACAACCCTCCCCCAAGTTAATTAACCAGGGGTTAATTAACGAGCTGCCACATAAGGAGGGGCCGCATTTGGGGGTGTCACACCCCCCCCAAGCGCAGGCCATAATTAAACCCTCTGACTAACGAACCAACCATTAATTAACACCTCATTAACGAAGGCCAAACCCCCCTTAATGACCCGACGCTCATTGACCCCAATCCGGGCCCCCTCCCCCCCCTTCCTGGGGGGGTTTCAGGCTCTGACATCATTAATCACCGCTAATTAAAGCTTAATTATGACCCAGTTTCCTTAACGAGGCCAGAGGGAGGAGCTGGGGAGGTTTTTTGGGGTTAAAACCTCGCAAAAATCTCCATTTTTGAGGTGAAAAATCTCAATTTTTGGGGTGGGGGCAGCACTCAGACCTGGGGGTCGTTAACAGTTCCCCCCCCCAGTGTTAATTAATTAAAGGGTACAGCCTCTAATGAAGAGATTAATTAGGGGGAGTCTGCAAAGACACAACAAAAAGTTAAACCAGCACAAACCCCCCCAAAACTGAGGGGGAGACCCCAAAAATTGGAGATTTAACCCCAAATTCTCACTGTAACCTTTGACCCCCCCCCCCCAAAATGAACGGGGGGGACACAAAGCCCCCCCTGGAGGGGGTCCCAGCAGTGGGGGAGGGGCAAAACCCCCTCCCCCAAAAGATTTTTGGGGTTCCCCCCCACATTTTTGGGGCCTAACCCCTTTAAAGGAGCTGGGGGTCCCCAAAATACCCCAAAAAAGGGGAAAAAATCCGATTTTTGAGGGGGGGGACGATCCCCAGCTCGTGAAATTGAGGGGTGGGTCAAGGCCTGACCCCCCCTCCCCAAAATTGGGATTTTACAGCATTTTTTTGACTCGTTTTACCCCCAAAAAAGAGATTTTTTGGGGGGAATTTAAGGGAGGGGCTGCCTGTGCCCCCCCCCCAAATAGGAAATGCTACCACTGGGGAGAAAAGGGAGGAATTTGGGGAATTAATGCCAAATAAATGGGTTTATTTATCAAAAATGTGAATTTTTCAGGAGGGATCTTTGTGGTTTTTACCCAAATCCATGAAATTTTGGAGATAAAAAAGGAGGAGAAGCCCAACTCCCGACTGCCGCATGCACCAGGAGAGGGAAAAGGGGGGAAAAAAGGGAATTTTGGATGTTTGAAAACCCTGGATCCAAAGGCCGTGAAATGGAATTAAGCCCAAAAAAAAAAAAACCAAAAAAAAAACCAAAAAAAAAAAAAAAAGGATTTTTTTGCTTACCCGGGTTGTGGCTGTTCCCTCCCTTTGCTGAAGTAAAGCTTCCTAAGCTGCAAAAACGGGGCAAAACCATTGAAAATCGGGAAAAAAATGGAGTTTTGGGGGTGTTCTCCCTCCCAAAATTCCGATTTTTTTTTGGTTTTTGGTTGGTTTTGGTGTGTGTGAGGAAAGGGGGGTGAAGCCCAGTGGTAGCATTTCCCTGTCACGATAAATTCAAGGTTATCAAAGGCTGCAGGACACTCCCAAATTCCCCAAAACCCCCCTGAAATCCCCCCCCCTAAAAAAGCAGGAAAAGGGAACAGAGAAAAGACAAAAAATAATAAAAATCCTGTGGAAAAAAGCAAAAAAAAAAAGAGGATTTCGTGGGTCCTGCGGGTGGAAGGGGGGGGTTAAAAAAGGGGTTTGGGGAATAAAAAGAGATTTGAAGGGTAAAAAATGGAATTTTCAGGGGGGGCCCCACAGTGGGAGGGGCATCAACAACGAGGCCTCGGCGCCATTTTAGAGCTGGCAAAAAAACCTCCAAATTCGGGGGTTTAAAAGGAATTTTTTTAGGCATTTTTGAGGAATTTGGGGGTTTAAAGGGGGGGAGGACACACAGACACGAGACAAAGAGAAACGTGTTAAACCCCCTTCACCCCCCCACGAAAAAATCCTAAAAATCCCCCAGGATTGGGGCTAAACCCCCCCCAAAATTAAGGAATTTAAAGGGGGGGGTTAAGAAATAACCGGGGGGGTCGGAGCTGGAATAAAAACCTCCAAAGCCGCGGAATAATGAGGGGAAAAAACGCGAATTCGGGACAAACAAAGAGCGGCCGCCATTTTGGAGCTGCCCTAGAAAGGCTCTGAGGGGAAGGGGGGGGGGGAAGTTTTAAAGTGAATTTCTGAGGGAAAAAAAGCAGAATTTGGGAAAAGCTCGGCCTGCCTAGCAATCTTTATTGCTAGATTGCGACCCCCCCGGCCCCGATTTCACCCGAACTCCAAAAATCCCCACGGAAAACCCGAATTTAACCTTCCCGCCCATCCCCACCCCGCGTTTCTCAGCGCAAAAAACAATCCTAAAATGGCACCTAAAAAATAAAAATAGGAAAGAAATCAGCTTTTTTTTGGTCGAAATTTCCAACCTTCTCCCCCCGCCCAGACCCGCGCGGTTTTTTCCTCCCTTTCCCCCCCTTTTTTTATGATTATTTTTTTGCTATTTTTTTTTTGCAATCTTTATGTACAGATTGCTCGCCGGGAATGCCCCGAAAATTCCCCAAATTCCCCGAATTCCGTCTCCCCCACCGCGCGATTTTTTTCCGGGTTTTTGGGGCCATTTTCCAGCTTTTTGGGAGGTTTTCTGGTTTGTTTTTTTGCGGGTCTTTTGTTTTTTTTTTTTTTTAAACCGTGGGAGCTGCTCGTGGACCCCTCCTCCTCCTCCGAAACCGCTTTTTTCTCCCGAAATCCCCCCAAAATTTCCATTTTCACCACCTTTAGGCACAGCCCACGTCCTCCTCAAGCACACGGGGGCTCTTCCTCCCATTATTTTTGCTCTTTGTGACAAATAACTTGTTAAAAGGGTTTTTTTCTTGTATTTTTTAAAGGGTAGGGGGGGAGCCTGCTGAAAATTCAACACTTACTATCCAATTTTTTTTCTCAGCCGACAGCGCTTCAAGGTTTGGATTTTGGCATTTGGAGGTGGTGTTAGAGCCAAAAAATTCGTTTGATTTTAATCATGGCTTTAAAAAAAACGCAGCAACTTTTTTTTTGCAGCTTGACGGGTATTTTGGGTTTTTTTTTAAGGTTGTTTTTTTTTTTCCCTTGGGTTTTGTTTGTTTTTTTAAAGCCCTAAAGGAGTGGATCGAGCTAAACTGAAAACCAAAAAAAAAATAGTAATAAAAAAAAAAGTTGCTTGGGTTTTTTTTTTTCTGCTCGAAAAAAAAGTGGGTTTTGCCTTTGTTTTTTGGGGGGAAAGAAGAGGGAAATATGTTTTTTAAAGTGGCAGTTTCCTTCGGGTTTGGAACGGCTTCCAAGGACGGTCCAAAGGACGGAGAGGCTGCGGCGGCTCTTCACGGCAAAGGGGGAGAGAAAACCTGGTTTTTTCCTTCCCCTCTTTGTTGTATATATATATTTTTGTTGTTTTGTTCGCGTTTTGTATTGTATTTTGTATTGTTTGTATTGGTTTTTTCTCTCGTGGTAAAGGCGACGGCGTCTCTCAAGACCAACCAAACCTGGAGCGGGGGAAAGGAAAAATAAAAGGGGGGGGAAGGTGGGGGATGGGCATAACGACAAAAAAAAAAAAAAGGAAAAAAATTGAAAAAAAGAAATTAGAAGCGAAGAAGAAAAGACACGAAACGATTAGAAGCTGTTATCCCCGGGGAGAATTTAGAGCTTTAAAGGGGGTGGAAAAGAAAAAAAATAACGAGGAAACGCCCTTGGAAGGGTGGGGCCCCGGAGTGGCTCTAGGAAGGGGCAAGCCGCTTTTTTCCCCACACAAACGATGCTTGGCGTTTCAAAAGGCCCCCAAAGCCAAAAAAAATGGGGAAAAAAATCCCCCGCGCCCCCAGCCCCGCCCGCAAAGCCCCGGCCCAGCGCAGCTCTTTACTCACCTCCACCAGCCCTCAGAATGGCGGCGGCGGCGCCGGGCGCGGCTTTTTATACCGGGCCACGCCCCGAGGGGGGAGAAAATGGGGGCGTGAGGGGGAAAGGGCAGCGCGCGCCACGTGCGGCGGCGGGGCGGGGCGAGTGACGTCAGGTTTGTGTTCCTCCGCTAGGGGGCGCGCGGGTGCGGGGGCGTGGCTTTTTCGTGAGGCGTGACGTCACCTCCCGCATTGCGCTGACGTCATATCGCGCCAGTGTCCCTTTTTAGGATGGGCACAGTGACGTCACAGCGGGCGTCGCTGACGTCGCCGCCGAGGGTTGGGCGATGAGAGGGGAAGGGAGGGGTGAGCCCGTGTGTGACGTCATCGCTCTGATCACATCGATGACGTCATAACCCCCTCCCCCAGGCCGTCCCCCGCCTCTGCAGCACCCAGGAGACCCCCAAGGACCCCCCGGCCGCCCCCTCCCCCTACCAGGACCGGCCCTGGGAGTACCTGGAGAGCGAAGGTTGGTTTGTGTGGGAACCCGAGGGGAATTTTTGGGAATTTTCGTGTCCCCAAACCACTCAAAACCCCCCCAAAAATGTCCCCACGCAGAGTACCGCGCCACCTACGGGGACAGGCCGGTGTGGCACGGCTACCGGCGCAACCACAAGGGCTCCGTGCCCCCCCAGAGCACCCGCAAGGCCTGCCTGGTGAGCACTGGGAGCACTGGGAGCACTGGGAGGGTACTGGGGGCAGTGTGGGGGGGCTCTTGAGGCACCTCAGGTGCCATTTTGGGGGGTTCTGGAGCATATTGGGGACGATTGAGGCCTCAATGGCACTTTGGGGGAGACTGGGACAGTTTGGGGTTACTGGGAGGGACTGACTGGGATGTTTGGGGGTTACTGGGACTGACTGGAACTGCCCCACTCCTGTTCCCAGCGCCGGGGCAGGCCCGTGGGGAACCCCTGCCCCATCTGCCGGGACCGGAACCTGCTCGTGGATTTTCGGGTGAGTTCTGACACTTTTGGGGGCAAATTTGGGGAGCTGCATTGGCCCCCCATTCCATCTTCTGCTCCCTTTTTCTCTCTTTGTTACTCCTTTTCCATTTTCTTTAACTCCTTTCCCTTTAGTTTCCCCATTTTAACTCCATTTTTACTCTCTTTTCACTCTTCTTTATCCATTTTTTGTGGTTTTTTGCCCCGTTTTCCCACCCTGCAGAACGTGAAGCTGCTGGACCAGTTCATCTGCCCCCACTCCGGCGTCATCTTCCACCCCATCCACACAGGTGAGGGCACACCTGAGGGTCACTTTATGTCCTTGAGGTCACCTTTCTGTCCCCGGTGCCACCTCCGCGTGTCCCTGACCCTTTTTCCCCTCAGGGATCTGCATGAAGCAGCACAGACGCCTCTCCCAGGCCATCGCCCAGGCCCAGGACCACGGTAAACCCCCAAATCCGATTTTTAACCCTTCCCAGCCCCGCCGTGTGCCCCCCAAACGCCTCAATCCCCCCTCCCCAGGTCTCCTGTGGCTGCAGGTCCCCTTTGTGCCGGTTCCTGAGGAGGATTTCTCCAACCAACACGCGGCCGTGGGCAAAACTCCCCCGGCGCCCGCGCTGAGGGGGCCGGGCCGGGCCTGGTACCCCTGGTACGAGTGGCAGCAGCCCCCTGCCGAAGAGGTGGCCCGGATGCGCCGTTTGTACCGGGGATTCCTCAAGGAGGATTATCCGGATACGCCCCCAAGCCCGTCGGGAAAATAAAAATGTTTAAAATCCCCTAAAATTGGCGTTTTTCTTGTCAGGGAAACTGAGGCAGCAGGCAAAAATGGCGGCCGGGGCTGAGGGGGAGTACATCCCACAATGCTTTGCGGGAAGGGGGGGAATGCTTCCCTTCATGCTTTGCTGTGGCGGGAAAAGGGGGTTGCTAAGGGGGGCGGGGCTTGGTTGCTAAGGTCGGGAGAAGGGGCGGTGGCGATTGGCGAACAGGTGCCAGGGGTGGAGCTTAGTCCAGGAGAAAATAAACGATTGGTTGAGAGGTTGCTAGGGGCGGGGCTCGATGTCTGACAGCGGAAGCGATTTGGCGGCGGTTGCTATGGGTGGGATTTGATTCCTGAGGGCCGCTGCCATTGGTGAGCGGTTGCCATGGGCGGAACTCGGTTGCTAAGTGCTGTCAAATTGTGAGCCGCGATTGGCTGACGGTTGCTAAGGGCGGGACTCGGTTCCTACAGACGGGCGAGGCCGCAGCAACGATTGGCTGACGGTTGCTAAGGGCGGGACTTCGTTGTTAAGCACGGGAGAACGCAGCGCACCGATTGGCCGGCGCTTGGCGGGCCGCGCCGCGATTGGCTGATTCCCCCCGCGGGGGGCGTGGTTCCTTTGCCGCCCGGGCGCGGCCGTGGCGGTGGCGGCCGGGCCGGGCCCGGCGGGCGGAGGCGGCGGCGGTGCCGGGCCGGGCCCGGGGCTCGGAACCCGGGACTCGATCATGGAGTTCCCTTTCGACCTGGCCCCGGTGCTGGGCGATCGCTTCTGCGTGGTGGATCAGCACCTGCGGCCCGCGGGGCGCGGCGGCGGCTCCGCCAAACGGTACCGGGGCTGCGCGCGGGGCAGGGCGGGAAGCGGCGCGGGGCATGCCGGGAAACTGGCGGACCCGCTTTTTTGAGGGGGGGTTTTTTGGGGGGGGTTTGGGGTTTTGTGAGGGGAAGTCCAGACGGAAACTGGGGGTCCCAAGGGCAATTTTGGGGGGTCCCAAGTGGAGTTGGGGCTCCCAGAGGGGAACTGTGTGTCCCATGGGGAATTTGAGGGGTCCCAAGGGGAGTTTGGGGGTCCCAGGGGAATGTGGGGGGTCATGGGGGGTCCCGTGCGCCCCCAGGCAGGCCCAGGGCCTCTCCACGCCCGTGACCAGCGCGGCGCGGATGGAGAGCAACAGGCACGTGCTGTACATCCTCAGGGACACCCGGTGAGAGCCCAAAAACACCCCAAAAACACCCCAAAAACATCCCAAAAATGTCCTCAAAATATCCCCAAAATATCCACAAAATATCCCCTGAATGTCCCCAAAATATCCCCAAAAATCCCCCCAAAGCAGCCCCCGACAGGCACGTGCTGTACATCCTCAGGGACACCCGGTGAGAGCCCAAAGCACCCCAAAATATCCCCTAAAACCGCCCCAAAAAATCCCTGAAATACCCCAAAATATATCCCCAAAATATCCTCAAAACATCCCCTAAATGTCCTCAAAATATCCCCAGAAACATCCCCAAAATACCCCCTAAATCTGCCCCAAAAATGCCCCCAAAATCCCCCAAATATTCCTAAAATATCCCCAAAATATTCCTAAAATATCCCCAAAAAATCCCTGAAATATCCCCAAAAAATCACTTCAAAATATCCCCTAAATCAACCCAAATTCCCCCCTCAAATCCCATTTCCCCCCCAAATTCCCAAATTTCCCCCAAATCCCCCCAAATTTTCCCCAAATCTCCCCTAAAATCCCCCCAATTTACCCCAAATCCTCCCAAATTTTCCCCAAATTCCCCAAATTTCCCTAAAATTCCCCCAATTTACCACAAATCTCCAAATTTCCCCCAAATCCCCCCAAATTTTCCCCAAACCCTCTCTCAAATCCCTCCAATTTACCCCAAACCCCCCAAATTTTCCCCAAATCCCCAACTTTTTGCCAAATCCCCCCAAATTCCCCCTAAAATTGCCCAAATTTCCCCCAAATCCCCCCAAATTTTCCCCAAACCCTCTCTCAAATCCCTCCAATTTACCCCAAACCCCCCAAATTTTCCCCAAATCCCCAACTTTTTGCCAAATCCCCCCTAAAATTGCCCAAATTTCCCCCAAATCCCCCCAAAATCCCCCAATTTTCCCCAAATTTCCCCAACCCCAGGTCCCCCCGGGGAGCCGTGCTGGGCTTCCTCAAGGTGGGCTACAAGAAACTCTTCCTGCTGGTGAGCGCTGCCTTTGGGGTGAAACTGGGGGCTTTTGGGGTTTGGGGGGGATTTAGGGTTTGGGGGCAAATCTGGGGGGTTTGGGGTGGAATCTGGGGGGTTTGGGGTCTGAATCTGGACAGTTTGGGGTGAAATCTGGGGGGTTTGGGGTGAAATCTGTGGGGTTTGGGGTGAAACTTGTGGGGTTTGGGGTCTGAATCCCTTTGGGATTTTGGGTGTCTGGTCCCAATCCCAGGGGAATTTTGGGGTGAAATCTGTGGGATTTGGGGTCTGAATCCTTGTGGGATTTAGGGTGAAATCTGTGGGGTTTGGGGTCTGAACCTGTGGGGTTTGAGGTGAAATCTGGGGGGTTTGGGGTGAAATTTGGGGGATTTGGGGTCTGAATCCCTGTGGGATTTTGGGGTGAAATCCGTGGGATTTGGGGTTTGAATCCCTTTGGGATTTGAGATGAAATCTTTGAGATTTGGGGTTTCAATCCCTTTGGGATTTGGGGTGAAATCTGTGAGGTTTTGGGGTCTGAATCCCTGTGGGATTTGGGGTGAAATCTGTGGGATTTGGGGTCTCAATCCCAGGGGAATTTTGGGGTGAAATCTGTGGGGTTTGGGGTCTGAATCCTTGTGGAGTTTGGGGTGAAATCTGGGGAGTTTGGGGTCTGAATCCCTGTGGGATTTGGGGCAGAATTTTGATTTTTTGGGGTGGAATTTTTGGGATTTTGGGGTGGAATTTGGATTTTTTGGGTGGAAATTTGGGGTTTTCAGGAGCGGGACGGGTCCCACGTGGAGGTGGAGCCTCTCTGTGTCCTGGATTTTTACATCCACGAGTCCCAGCAGCGCCGGGGGCTGGGCCGGGAGCTCTTCCGGGAGATGCTGCAGGTCTGGGGGCAAAAACGGCGATTTTGGGAAAAATGGGGGGAAAAAAATGGAAATTTGGGGGGGAAAAGGGGGATTTTGGGGAAAAAAAGGGGAAAAAATGGGGTTTGGGAGAGGGAAAATGGAAATTTGGGGGGGGGAAATGGAAATTTGGGGGGGAAAAAAGGAAAAAGGGGAAAGGGAAAAAGGGGAAAGGGGAAAAAAAGGAAAAAGGGGAAAAAAGGAAAAAAGGGAAAAAAGGAAAAAGGGGAAAGGGAAAAAGGGGAAAGGTTATTTGGATTTTTTGGGGTGGAATTTGGATTTTTTGGGGTGGAATTTTGGGTTTTCAGGAGCGGGACGGGTCCCACGTGGAGGTGGAGCCTCTCTGTGTCCTGGATTTGGGGCTGGAATTTTAGGATTTTGGGCTGGAATTTGGATTTTTTTTGGGTGGGATTTTTTTGATTTTGGGATTTTGGGGTGGAATTTGGATTTTTTGGGGTTTTCAGGAGCGGGACGGGTCCCACGTGGAGGTGGAGCCTCTCTGTGTCCTGGATTTTTACATCCACGAGTCCCAGCAGCGCCGGGGGCTGGGCCGGGAGCTCTTCCGGGAGATGCTGCAGGTCTGGGGGCAAAAACGGCGATTTTGGGAAAAATGGGGGGGAAATGGGGATTTTGGGAAAAAAAAGGGGGGAAAATGAGGTTTGGGGGGAGAAATGGAAATTTTAATGAGGAAAATTGGAATTTTAGGGAGAAAATGGGAATTTTAAAGGGCAAAATCATAATTCTAAGGGAGAAAACTGCAATTTTTTTGGGGAAAAATGGGATTTTAAGGAGAAAATGGTGATTTTTGTGGAGAAAATGAGAATTTTAAGGGGGGAAATGGGGATTTTTGGAGGGAAATGCTGATTTTGAGATGGGAAATGATGATTTCCACCCCAAACTCCCACCCCAGCGGGAGCGGGGGCAGCCCCACAAGCTGGCTGTGGACAGACCCTTAGCAGGGAAAAATTCAATTTTAATGGGGAAAATTTCAATTTTAATGGGGAAAATTGGAATTTTAATGAGGAAAATTGGAATTTAAATGTGGAAAATGGGAATTTTAGGGGAAAATGGGAATTTTAAAGGGGAAAATCATAATATTAAGGGGGAAAAATGCAATTTTTGGGGAAAAAATGGGATTTTAAGGAGGAAAAATGGGGATTTTTTGGGGAAATGGGGATTTCTGGAGGGAAATGCTGATTTTGAGATGGGAAGTGATGATTTCCACCCCAGCGGGAGCGGGTGCAGCCCCACAAGCTGGCTGTGGACAGACCCTCGGAGAAGCTCCTGGGCTTCCTCAGGAAACATTTCGGGCTCTGCGACCTCATCCCCCAGGTGGGGCTGGAAATCCAGAATATTTCCTCTTTTACTGGGGTTTCTTGCCTGTTAAATGCTGGGTTTGGGGGTAAATTAAAATGGGTCCAATTAAATTTCATTGAAATTACAATTTGTTTTGGGTGAATTTAAATTATGGGGTGGGGGTTAAGTGGGTGCAGCAGGGGAGGGGAAATAATCTGAAATATTAAAATAGTTTTTTTAATTTGGTAGTTAGTTATACTTGTATTTATGTTTTATTTCTGTTTTTTATATTTATATTTATTTTTATTTTTATCTTTATTTTTATTTTTATTTTTATTTTTATTTTTATTTTTATTTTTATTTTTATATTTATGTATGCACTTATACTTGTGTTATCCTTGTATATATTTATTATTCAATTATTTCATTTTTATATTATGTCTATAATATATATTTCATTTATATTTTATATTTATTTGTATTTCTATTTTATGCTTATTTATTTAATATTTTTATATTTTATTTATATTTACACTTTAGGTTTATTTTTTATTTATTTGTTATTAAATTATCTATTTATTTATGGTTACATTTGTTTATATTTACATTTGTCATTATGTGGATTTTTTATACCCATTTATTTGTAATTTTTGAATTTTATTTTATTTTATTTTTATTTATTAATGTAAACAGGAACCAGGGCAATCCAGTCACAGAAATTCCATGAAATTCTTGATTTTCTCCCCCTCCAGGTGAACAATTTTGTCATTTTTGAGGGATTTTTCTCCACCAGAACCGGTGAGCTGGGGACGGAATTCTGATCTCCCGGTGGGGTTTGGGGGAATTGGGGAATTTTGGGGGATTTGGGGGGATTTTGGGGGATTCTGGGGGGATTTGGGGGATTTTGGGGGATTTTGGGGTCAATTCCTGCATTTCCCTGACTGTATTTTGGGTGTATTTGGGCTGATTTTGGGGTGAATTTGAGATGAATTTGGGGTGAATTTTGGGTAATTTTGAGGTGATTTTGTGGTGATGTTGGGTTGATTTTGGGGTGAATTTTGGGTGTATTTGGGGTGATTTTGAGATGAGTTCTGGCTGGATTTTGGGGTGAATTTGAGATGAATTTTGGGGTGGTTTTTTGGGTGGATTTAGGCTGGATTTTGGGTGATTTTGGGGTGAATTTGCGATGACTGTTGGGGTGAATTTGGGCTGGATTTGGGCTGGATTTTGGGTGACTTTGGGGTGAATTTGAGATGAATACTGGGGTGATGTTGGGGTGCTTTTGGGGTGAATTTGGGCTGGATTTTGGGTGGTTTTGGGCTGGTTCTGGTGTAGTTTGGGTGCATCTGGCTGACTTTGGTGCTGTCCCCAGCCCCAGCCCGGCGCCCGTTCCCGCGGCCGCGCCCCGAGGAGCCGATCAAGCCGTACTCGCTGAGCGAGCGCGACTGGGAGCGGGGGCTGGATTTGGGCTGGATTTTGGGTGACTTTGGGGTGAATTTGAGATGAATGTCAGGGTGAATTTGGGCTGGATTTTGGGTGCTTTTGGGGTGAATTTGGGCTGGATTTGGGCTGGATTTTGGGTGACTTTGGGGTGAATTTGAGATGAATGTCAGGGTGAATTTGGGCTGGATTTTGGGTGATTTTGGGGTGAATTTGAGATGAATACTGGGGTGATGTTGGGGTGCTTTTGGGGTGAATTTGGGCTGGATTTTGGGTGGTTTTGGGCTGGTTCTGGTGTAGTTTGGGTGCATCTGGCTGACTTTGGTGCTGTCCCCAGCCCCAGCCCGGCGCCCGTTCCCGCGGCCGCGCCCCGAGGAGCCGATCAAGCCGTACTCGCTGAGCGAGCGCGACTGTGAGCGGGGGCGTGGTCAGGGGTGGGGCCAGTGGGTGTGATCGGGGCGTGGCCATGGCTGTGTGGATGTGACCATGGGTGTGGTCAGTGGGTGTGGTCAGGGGTGGGACCATGGGTGTAGTCAGAAGTGGGGCCGTGGGTGTGGTCTGGGTGGGTGTGGCTGCTGTGGGTGTGGTCATGGGGCGGGGCCGTGGGTGTGGTCAATGGGCATGGTCAGTATGTGCAATCAGTGGGTGTGGTCAGTGTGTGATGCATGGGTGTGTCAGTGGGCGTGTCCATGGGTGTGGTCAGGGGGCATGGTCAGTGCCGGTGGGCGTGGCCCTGACTCTGTGCCCTGCAGTGTGTGTGTCGGTGGGTGTGTCAGTGGGTGTGGTCAGTGGGCGTGGTCAGTGTCGGTGGGCGTGGCCCTGACTCCGTGCCCCGCAGTGTGTGTGTCAGTGGGTGTGTCCGTGGGTGTGGTGGGTGTGGTCAGGGGGCGTGGTCAGTGCCGGTGGGCGTGGCCCTGACCCCTGTGCCCTGCAGTGTGTGTGTCGGTGGGTGTGTCAGTGGGTGTGGTGGGTGTGGTCAGTGGGTGTGTCCATGGGTGTGTCAGTGGGTGTGGTGGGTGTGGTCAGTGGGCGTGTCCATGGGTGTGTCAGTGGGTGTGGTGGGTGTGTCAGTGGGTGTGGTCAGTGGGTGTGGTCAGTGGGTGTGTCCATGGGTGTGGTCAGTGGGTGTGGTGGGTGTGGTCGGTGGGCGTGGCCCTGACACCGTGCCCTGCAGTGTGTGTGTGTCGGTGGGTGTGGTCAGTGGGTGTGGTGGGTGTGTCAGTGGGTGTGGTGGGTGTGGCCGGTGGGTGTGTCCATGGGTGTGTCAGTGGGTGTGGTGGGTGTGGCCGGTGGGCGTGGCCCTGACGCCGTGCCCGCAGTCCTGCGGGAGGAGGCGGAGCCCCCCTGGCCCTTTAACCTGTCGCGGGGGTCCCCGGTGCGGGGCAGCCTGCGCCCCTTCCTGCTGCGCCGGGAGACGCCCCCGGGCACCGGCACCGGCACCGGCACCGGCGCCGAGCCGCCCCCGCGCCGCGCCAGGTACCCACGGG